ATATGGCAGTAATACACACTGAACTGGAGAATCCAAACACTAAACAACATCATGGTTAAAATAACAAACATGCAAAATGTATCTGAACCTCATTTTATGCGCTGTGACATTTATATTACAACCCCATTTCCAAAAAAGTTGGGACGCTGTGCAAAATGTAAACGAAAACAAACTGCAATGATGTGCAAAACATTTAAACCCTATATTTATTTGAAAATAGTACAAAGACAATATATTGATCGCTAAAACTGAGAAATTTTATTGTTTTTACAAAAAATATATGCCAATTTTCAATTTGATAGCAGCAACACGTTAAAAAATACTGGGATGGGGGCACGTTTACCACTGTGTTGCATCACCTCTTCTTTTAACAACACTCTGTTAGTGTTTGGGAACCGGGGAGACCAACTGCTGTAGTTTTAAAAGTTAAATGTTTTCCTGTTCTTGTTTGATACAGGATTTCAGCTGCTCAACAGTTCACTGTCTCCTTTGTAGTATTCCTCATTTCATAAAGTGCCATATGTTTTTAGTGGTGACAGGTCTGGACTGCAGGCAGGCCACTTTAGCACCCAGACTCTTTTAATACAGAGCAATGCTGTTGTAATACATGAATGTGGTTTGACACAAAGTTGTCATCTGGATGGTAGCATATGTTGCCAAAACCTGTATCTATCATTCAGCATTAATGGTGTCTTCACAGATGTGCCAGTCACCCACACCATGTGCACTAATGCTCCCCTAGATGTGAGTTTTATAGTTTTACTGTCTTTAAACAATTTCCTGAGCTCCTGTCACCAGCACTGCACTGACCCTAAACAATATTCAATTACTATAACTCTCACAGCGACATAAAGTTTATATATATTATAGATGTGAGAGTTTTACCATTTAGCTTTGGCAAAGGTCTTTTTTTAAATCCACAAACTTCATGTTGATTCATGTCTAATCCATCATATCTTTTCATATCAGGGGCCTGTGCATACTGAGAGAAATACGCAGCACTTCAAACTCGCTCCAGTCTCAGGAATTCCACAGTGAAAACTTCCAGATCTACGCGCTGGAAGTCGTCCTGATGTCGTACACCAACATCCATTCTCTGATAATCAAAAACAGGTTTTAGCCTTTCCTCACTCACAAACACCACTCGCATCATCTCACTAGTTTAACCATTAAATGGGTTCTTGCGTGTTACGGCTGCTTTTCACTCCTTTCACTATCTCCAAGAACAAAAAGCTCCACTGGTGGGGTTCTTTAGGGCTTTAGGAGAACCATTTGGATGCCATGTAAAACTAGGCATAAGCGATCTGATGATATATATCTACTGTGATAAATTATTACAACAGATATATCCTATTGTGATCAATTAAATCACATCACATGTTTTTATTAATATACCACCTGTGTTGTCAGTACTCAAAGAGCACAGACAAACTGCATGTTTCATTAACCCTTTCATGGCCAACAGCTAAATTTAGTATGATGAGGAGAAATAATAGATCAGCAATCGCCAACCGGCGGACCGCCGTCCTGATGCGGTGCCAGCAGAGCATTTCATCGGACTGACCCGAGCACTTGAAAATAATTCTGTAGGTTGTATTTCAGTAACATATGTGCACATGAATCAGCTTCTGCAGCAGTTCTGTGTTACAGTTTGTCCAACCACATGCACTTAGATTGGGGCCCAGTCTGAGCACACTGAAAATCTGAGATTCATTCATCTAAACCTAGTAAATAAAAAGAGAAACTTTTAGAATTTTGAACATTTTTATACAAAGTAATCATGAGTAAATGTTTATAATTCTACACTATTTCTAGTTCACTTCTCAAATTTGAGCTTTTCGTGGCACTGACCATTTAGGCCTTTATACAAAAAGGTCCAATTTTCTCTTCTCATGTCTCGTGCAGTGAAGCTCGTGTTCAGACGACTCTCAGGTGGATCTGATCTGTTCACCAGAGGCTTTTGCACAAACTAGCTCAAGTGCATGCTGTCCTTAAACGGGGACACACCACCAAATACTAAGAAACTCTGAAATTTGTGCTTAAATTTCAAAGATTCTACCCTTCACACAAATTGTTAAGCTGATAATATCATTTGTAATTAAGAAGTTTGTATTAAATTAGAAAAGAATTCAAAACAGAAGCATTTTCACTAGTGGTCTTAAACTTTTAGAACCCACTATATATAAATTACTTTTAACCGAAGGCAAGTGAAGGCTGAAAACAGAGTGTTAAAAATAAATGAGCAGAGAACTGTGCATTTATATCCCTGTTTCAAGTTCAAAACAGATGAGTCTCATCTGTTTAGAGTCCGTGGTGCTGGTTACAAGTGAAAATCGCTTCAAATTAACCTACCAACAGAATTCTGTTCTGAAGACAAATAAAATAAATCCAAGGCTCAACATGAAATATCCACCAGAGTGCTCGTCTATTCCTGACAGCACAAGAGCATGAAATGGTCATTAAGAATAATAGCTTTTATTATTGTTTACTTTGATTAAATTTAATTTTTATTCATTTTCTTTCTTTTACCTTTACAAAAGATGAACATTTCCTTGTTACATTATAAAAATGTGTATCAAAATATATTTGATCTGCCTTAAAATTGTATTTTTTTTCAGTCTGCTGGACTGATCATTATTCAGACCTTCGTGAGCAATAAATTTGATGTCGCTGGTCTTTCATAAGTACAGTTTGAGTCATAGAGCTTGTCTTGATTAGTCTGAAGAGTATAGTTATATCTTGGATGAGCACCTAACAGTGCACAGTTGATTTCTTTGGACTACATAACATTTATCTAGTTTACAGTTAATTCCTCAAAGATAATGTCTAGCTCATAGTTTATTTTTGCAGTTACTATCTAGTTTATATTTTATTTTCACAGCTAATATCTATATGACAGTTTATTGCTCGAAGATAATATCTAGACTACACTTTATTCTCACAGCTAATAGCTAGATTACAGTTTATTCCTCGAGGATATTATCTAATTTATAGTTTATTCATGCAGCTAATATGTAGTTTATAGTTTATTACTTGAAGATAATATCTAGCTTATAGTTTATTTTTGCAGATACTATGTGGTCTATAGTTTATTCTCACAGCTAATATCTAGTTTATAATGTTGCATTGTGGGATTACTGGTACATTGTACCTGTTGTGTACTGTGAAAGTATTTTGATCTGTTTTTGTCAGGCCTGTGTAAAAACACATGAGATTTGGTAAATAATAAACAAGGAATGGCTCTGTCTGGCTCTGGAACAGCCGTAAAACCCCTAAGGAACAAACTTTATGGATATGAATTATTCAGCACAGTTAAAGGCCAGGGACTTTCACACTCAATCTTCCTTCTTTAGTGTACTATGAAGGGATTTGACTGCGGCTTTGTGCGTGTGCGTGCGCGCCTGGCAGAGCTGTTATCATTGTTAATGTTGGCATGCTCGCTCCGAAAACTGCACAGAGAGCTACAAAACAACTCAGGAGGCAGAAACACTTCTGCAGCGTCTGCATCCAGAATCCTCAGAAACCCCCTTAAGGTCGTTTTAACAGCCCCTGCGTTTAATAATAGTAATTAAGGAGTTTTTATAACACACTGCAGGACAAAAGGTCAGAAGCAACACTAACACTGCATTCACAGTACAGAGAAACAAGGTAATTTCTATACTTCGCAAAAATTCACAATACAAACATTATAAATTAAAAAAAAGCAAAAGAATCTTTATACTACAAAGATATTTACAAGTATTGAACATAAGCGAGTGTTAATGAGTTTATTGTTAAAATTAAATTGTTTTTAAGCTGTTTATATGGGCAGTGAGGCTGTTTTTTACAGTAAAAACACTATTTAACATTGCAGTAAAAACAAATATACATAAATACAGTAGTCAGTAGTGAGAATATGTTGCTTTCAGTAAAGTTATGAATATGTAGGTAAGAAGATCACAGGTTTGGTTCCTGACTTCTTCAGCCATCGCAGCGATTTCCATCACCTGATTTACTTTAATGAAGGACTGATTAGATAAACGAAGTATTGGATGGTGACTGTAAATACTGGACAGATTTGGAAATGCTGAGCTCACACACACCAATCACAACTGTTTGTTTTGATTGTTTATTTGTTTATTTGTATTTATTCTAAAGTTAGTGGGTGTACAAATAAACGCCAAATAAACCGCTGTACAGATATTTTTCTCAAATGCCTACAGTCTTAAAAGATGGTTCTTCATGGACTCTTTAGTAAAGGAAACAGTCCTATTTAGAACCATGAGTTCTATATAGAACCATTTGTATGCTTGAATGGCTCTCTCCATGGTGAAATGGTTCTACAGATTGATGGAGAATGTATTGTATATTGTTATAATGACAAGACTGTACACTCTTAAAAAAGATGGTTCTTTAAAGGTTCTTTAGCCAAGGGGTCTCAAGTCATTCTATATAGAACCACAAACACTCAAAGAACCATTTGCATGCTTAATTGGTTCTTTGCATGGTGAAATCGTTCTTCAGATTGATAGAGAATGTGCTGTATATGGTTCTATATAGCATCAAAAAGGGCTCTTTTATCATAACAAGCCTGACATTAGCAGAACCCTTTTTGGTGCTATATAGAACCCTTTTCAAAAGGTTTCTGTAAACCACATACAACACATTCTCCATCAATTTGAAGAGCCATTTCACCATGCAAAGAATCATTTAAGCATGCAAATGTTTCTAAATAGAACTATTCCCTTTGCTAAAGAACCCTTGTAGAACCATCTTTTGTAAGGTTGTAGCTCAGTGATGTATAGACACGCTTGCTGTCTGTGAGTTTACTAATTTAAGCAATAACGATGATGAAGCACATTTTACTCATGTGCAGCCAACAGACACATTTGAATCATGTTAAATTCACAGCGCTATTTCTGTCCGCTCTGTTTACGGGCTCTGTTTTTTCAGATTAGCTTTGTTTAAAGGCTCTCTTGCTGATTATAAATGTAACAGTGTAACGAAGAAGGTTCTCTTACCGAACTCACTGGCGCACATGTGTTCCAGAATGACTTCTGGGCTCATTTCGTTTTCACATGGAGGACACGCCGGGCTGTCGTCTGCAGGAACACAAACAGACATCACATTCTGATTACAGGCAGGTTCACAGTGGAGGGCTTCCTCTTTAGGACTCACTTAAAACTGATATTCAAAAGCACTATTCAGTAGATCTGAACAATACACTGTTTGGTGCATTGTTATTGGCCCTGGCCCTGATGTATTTCGGTACAGATTACTGACCACCTGCTAAAAACATGTAACTGAAACCTGCTTCAACTGAAACTCTGCACTGATTTGTGCATGTGTGCAGTCCATCATACATACACACACACACACACACGCTAAAAGATCATCAGCTTGGTTCAGAAGAGTGGCAGAGAAAGTTACAGAGGTACCTACAGCAGCTCACACTGCTAAAGAAAAAATCTGCTCTCAAATCTTCAGGCAGGAAAACATCTTTTCGACATTTAGATCTGATTAGGAAACCATCAAATGCATTTAGAATTAGCCATTGGTGATCTGTTCAAACCATTTGGATCCTTTACACTATGATATCAACCCATCAAACCCATCATTGGTGCAGCTCCTGTGTCTGCTCCTGGTGCAACTTCCACTGACCTCCAAGTCTCCTGTTCTGCCTCTGGCCTCCAAGTCTCCTGCCATGCTGGCCTCCCAGTGCCCTGCTCAGTCAGCCTCTGTCACTGTGCCCTGAACTGATCCTGAACCGGCCTCCGAGTCCCCTGACCTGCCGGACTCCGGAGAGCATTGCTGAGGTAGCACTGGGTGCCGCCCAGTGTTCTGCAGCCCTTTTCCAGTGCCATATCCACAGTCTCTTTGAGTGTTGGCTCCACACTCTGTTCCAGAGCCATATCCATGTCTTCTTCCAATGTCAGCTCCATGCCCTGTTCCAGTGCCACATCCATGTCCTCTTCCAGTGTCAGCTCCATGCCCTGTTCCAGTGCCACATCCATGTCCTCTTCCAGTGTCAGCTCCATGCCCTGTTCCAGTGCCACATCCATGTCCTCTTCCAGTGTCGGCTTCACGCCCTGTTCCGTTGTCGGCTCCACGCCCTGTTCCAGTGCCATATCCACGTCCTCTTCCAGTGTCGGCTCCACGCTCTGTTCCAGAGCCATATCCATGTTCTCTTCCAGTGTCGGCTCCACACCCTGTTTCAGTGTCGGCTCTTTGCTCAGTCATGTGTTCAAAACCCCTGTCTCATCATCAGTCGCCTGTCCAGTCTTTTGTTTTCTTTCTGTTTGAGTATTTTGATCTTTAGTGTTTTTTCTTTGTTTCATAACTTTTGTGGATTCTTTTTTATTATGGATTTCAATAAAAAATGTGGACATGTGCTTGCAACTAATGAGAGTAAGAGTTTACTTATAGATCAGTTTGCTGCTATAGAACCAGGTGTTATTCACATCTCTCTGGGAAAACGCTGCAGATCTTAGTTCTGCCAAAAAATTTAATACTTAATTCTCCATGTTTGGCTGAATATTATGCTGTGACCTGCTGCTGTGGATCGAGATTCTTCAGAAATCTCTCCTGCCAGCAGTACCCTCCTCCCCCTCTTCCTCAAATTACAAACAGTTCAAATGTACATGTGACAAAACAGTGAATCATGACAAAAGGAATTTGCAGAGCTCACCTTATTTTTAATAAAATATCTGTAATCTAATGTTCTTTCTTACTGTAACTGTAATGAAATACAGTTGTTTTTTGTATCCTGATTACATAACACTGTATTGACACTTCCTGTTTCTCTCATAATACATGACTACTACATACCAGAGGGCACCAGTGAGCGAGTCTTCAATGAATGTGGAGATAAATGGAGCTAAACAAGGAGAATTTAGTCTAACACTAAACATGATGAAAAGGCAGAAAAGATGTTACCCTGTCTGAGGACATTACGTTTGTCATAAAATTCACATTTTATTCAAGGAAATAACACGTGAACCTAAACATCAAAAAAAGAAAAATGTAAGCTGTTTCTAGCTATTTAAATATGCCTTTAACTTAGGAAAGTTGAAGGATGTTTTCCGGTAAAAATTAGTTTTGGGGCAACAGGATGCAAACACTCCTGCTAATGAATGCTGATAGGTTAGCATTACTGCTACTGAGCACTGTTTGGTTAGCATTACTGCTACTGAGCGCTGATTGGTTAGCATTACTGCTACTGAGCGCTGATTGGTTTGCATTACTGCTACTGAGTGCTATAAATAGTGGTTTTGAGTGCCATAGAGAAAACTGTGGTTCAGTGCTGTAGACTGTACAGTTACGTTATGAATTCAGACTAGGCAAGTTTATTGTTTATCCGGGGGGAGGAGTCTAACACTGAACACGATGAAAAGGTAGAAAAGAAGACTGTTACCTCATGTAAAGCATTCATTTTGTCAGAAAATTCATATTTTATTCAAGAAAATAACACAGGGCCCCCCAAGTTCAGTGTTGTCTCCCTTATGGGAGGTCTGGGACCTCCCTAGTCCCCCCCCCACCCTCAATTCGAACCCTGCTATTGTGGCACCACTGTAGGAGGTGAGGAGGCATTTTTACAACAGATGAAGCGGCAGTTATGTTTTTCACTTTGCCTGAAGTGGTCACAAAGGCTATAGAAAAACAACTTCTCTTTCTCTAAAGAACCTTTGAATGCATATTCATTTTCCTTCAAGAGCCCTTTTCCTTCATTATTGCTGTGTTTTTTGTTTTTTTGTGGGTTTTTTCTCCTGAGGTTCACTAATAACATTTATGTGGTTTCATGTACCAAATTTTGTAATTCATTTTGACATGAACATTTTCCAACCTTTAGGATTAAACATGCTGCTTTCATTACTGTGCCTTTAAGACTGATGTATGTAAATTAGCTCTGTTCTGATTGGCTGTACCTCATTCAAAAAGCAGTTCGGTCTGAAACACTCCTCATAACTTCAGCATAAATGCTGTAGGCTGAATAGGCGAATGTATGTATATATGATGATGGTTTGTGTGACATCACAGAAACAGTAAACGTTTTTTTTTTAACTTAGTTGCAATAAATGGACTGTATGGACTGGCAATATGTTCTGAAGTTTTAACAATGTCTTCATACTAACATCACACGCTTTAGTTTTTAAAAGGGAGAAACATTTAGTTTTTCATGATATAGGCCCTTTAAAGAGCCACTTTGTTTGCAAGTTTAAAGACCCTCCTCATAATGTAAAGGTACTTTTCTAGTTAAAGGGGTTTTCCTAGAATCATACATGGGAACCCTAAAATAAATATGGATCATGCAGCTTTTATTAATGTGTTTTTTATGTATATACATATTTGTATTGCATATTTCAACCATAATATGTAACAACATTATTGCAATCTAATATTTACAGTATTTTAACATTCATTCAACAGATTGAGAATACATTGTACATGGTGCCATATAGAACGTTTTTGACACTGGTTCTATATGGCACTAAAAAGGGTTGTTCTATTGTATACAAGCTTGACATCGTAACAATAGCAGAACCCTTTTTGGTGCTATATAGAACCATATGCAACACATTCTCCATCACACTGAAGAACCATTTCACCATGCAAAGAATTATTTAAGTATGCAAATGGTTCTTTGAATGTCGAGGGTTCCATATAGAACCATTGTCTTTACTAAAGAACCCATGAAGCACCATTTTTCTAAGAGTGCTGGGAGGCTTTGTTCTGAGCCTTTGATCAATAGTGTTTAATTATATTGAGCCTACAACACCACCTAAATATCTGAGAGTGCAGCCTCAGTGAGACCTACAGCGGAGCTGAAAGTTTCCATCAACATTTATATGTTGGTCTGAAGTGTTTAGTGCAAACAGAACATCAAATGCAAAAATAACCTAAATATCAATTTTACATGCCTTAGGATTTGAACCCTGCAGCTCTTAACAAAAGGTGCTTTAATATTTTCCACCAGCGAGAGCATCAGGCTGCTTTACTTTATTACTGTTTGATATATGTGCCCTTTGTAATTGTTGGCTGAGTAATAAAATGTTAGTTTATCAGAGGACGTCTGTAAAAATGCCTTTACACGTCTCCTCAGTGACAAAACTCTCAGATAAACTGATCACAGGACCAGTGAGTTTCTAGGGGGTTGTATTAATCTTAGCAGTGTTCAATATTAGATCTGTAAAGGGGAATTCCACTGATTTTTAAAAATATTTGCATATTTAAATAATTAAGACTGTGAAATGGTTCAGATTTCTTTACAGTCATGGTGATAGGAACCAGGGGTCATCATGACTACAACACAAATAAAGACATTTTATTTACTATCCAAAACCACCAGTGAACCTACACGTGTCTTCTGAGCTTTATATGGAATGATGATGATGGGAAAATAGTGGAAAATCTGAAATAATAAGTTTTCTTTGGGGAATATTTTGTCTCACAGCACCCTGCATATTATGTATCCCTCCACCATGAACGGATTTTAAGCTTCTCAAAACTTGACTTTATTTTCTTTCTCCTTCTGATAGTGCTCTCGCTGGAGGCAAAAGGAGTCGGCATCGTACCACTCAGACCAAGTAAGTGATTCAGTCATTCTTCAAAAGCTTCCATTTGTCATTTGGAATGTGTTTAAATCCTTAAAATCTCAGTCTTTTTACATACTAAGGCTTATTTTTTAGTAACTATAGGGGCTGGCTGAGCCATTCTTAGATTATAGAAATGTGTAATAAAACTTTGGGCCCACCGGTGGGCCCTGACTGTTTAAGGGGTTAACCAATAGTCTCCCATATGCGCGCTATGAGATCAACTTAGAGTACAATCAGAAGTCAAAAATCTTTTTTTCAACGTGAGGCAACAACTGCCTGAAAATCACAGAGATGCAAATCCGGACGGAACTACAATGATCAGAGCGGCGCCGAGTTTGGTTAAAAACAGGAGGTAAATCAGCCTGTAATGTTCTCAGAGGAGGAGGAGAAAAACACAGACATTACTGATCCGAACGACAATAAAATCACTGAGTAGTGCCTGTAAAAGAGGACATTATCCCAAAACAGCATACACATTTACATCCCATCTGAGACGGCCTTATATAGGG